TCCACCAGAGGAGTGTAGCCAGCCCCGCCGACGGGTACACAAGGTGAGCCCTCAGCAACCCCACGGTTATCGGAGTACCCCCTCCGTCAGTCGGCAGTCCAGGGCACTGTGTGTCTGAGTGGATCGCAACGCGATTTTGCGAATCACACTCCACCACACTCTACGACCCAATTTCGGACCTGTATCTCCCAATTTGGTACGTGTTGACTACGGGGAAGACATCTCAAGTTTACGAGCACTTGCTGCACTCAATCTTCGTCGCATCCAAAAAGAAGTTAGACCCAGCTCACGTGGTGTGTGATTTTGAGTACGCACTCATCAAGGCCGTCAAGACCCCGTTTCCTGATTCTACAATTGTGGGCTGTTTGTTTCACTTCAAGCAAGCGCTGCGACGGAAAATGTTGAAGCTGAAGATAACCGAGGCCGAGGTGACTCTGGCTATGATTGACGGTTGTATTGACCGACTTACTGTGATCCGGCGTCTCGACATCGTGTTTCGTGGAATTCCAGATGTTCGACGCATGATCAAGCGTGGCTGTGGATACCATGGAATCCAGTACTCAAAGGATAACTGGACGAAATTCTGGAAGTACTTCAAGACAACCTGGATCAAAAAATTTGTTTCGGCATGGTGGAACACCAATGGTTTGGGCAAAGACATTGTAAATCGAACCAACAACCCTCTGGAACGCTACAACAGAACGCTCAACGACGCTTTTTCTGTAGCGCATCCGGATGTGACCCAGTTCATCAGCGTGATTGAAGCTCAAAGCAGGGCATACGTTTGCCTCATCAACGATATATCCAACCGCAGAACCACCGCTCCTGCCCATGCACCAGCTCAGCCTGCTCCGACTTTTGACTCGGATTCGGACTTCGAAGTGGACTCGGACTCGGATTTAGATGTCAGTGACCCAGGCTCTGAAGCCTCGGATGGTGCTTCCGTGGCCTCGAGATCTCCTGAATTCTGATCTACATACAAACGGTACCTATTTGATTTCTACAGATTCTAATCAAATACATTGTGCCCATTCTACTACGGTTTTGCGTGATGGTACCTATTTTCTTTGACATCGGACTAAAATGTACTTTTCAAGTATTTCCTACTATTCAGTGACACGATATCCCTCTGTATGCCTGGGTCCGCTGTGATTTCAGATTTTAGCGAGATTCACTTATCCTAAATTCTTATCAGAAGGGGAGCCCGACTCATGGTACTGAGCATACTGGCGGCAATCAAGTTCATTCGGTGGCACCCGTCGGTCGCATTTGTGCAGTTCTGTGAGAGCCCCCTAGTGAACGTGACCGAAAGTCAATATACTAGTACTGAGTTGAGTTTTGCTGCCAGGTGGAATCGAGCCACCGACTTCTCGTTTATGAAGCGAGATCTTTACCACTAAGGTATGGCAGCGTTATTCAAAAACTAAATCACATACATATTTAAAAAATACTGTCTAATTTAATGTTTCGTTGATATATTTAAATATAATTTAAAAGAGGTTTATCGCTTATAATAACTATAAAACAAATTTATCGCTTCTTGGATGGTCAAATTGATCTAAATTTGACCCAAAAAGCGAGTTGCGCAGGATTTGACCTGCACCAAATTTGACCCAAAAAAGGTTTTCGTTACAGACCACAATAGAGCATTGGGTTTCTTGGGTTTAAATTTCTATTTGAGAAATAGAAAATTGAACTTATGCGACCATTTCTCGCGTTTCTATCTCGAAAAGACTGAGTCTACTGATCCTCTCTGAGTCCACGAAGAAACTCTGAGTCCGTGCGGTAAGCCATCCGTTGTTTGTCACTTGCGTCCGTCGACGCCGCCGTCATGGGTGGCGATCTCATGGAGCCCCCCGCCGTAAAGCCTCAGCAGCTCTAACCTGCGCCTCCCATTGCTCTCTATTCCTGCTGTCAGCAGCCAGTGCTATGTCGGACATCAAGGCCTCGCCTCCTGCTCCGTCCTCGACGTCTCCAGCCTCTCCTTCTGCGGTGCTCCCAGGCTCTGAGCGCCCCAACTACCGCGGCAAATGCCTCTACAAGACTGGCAAGTGCATGAATGAGCGTGCGCTCAAGACGTCGGGGGCGGCTCACAATCTCTGCGACGAGCATCGCAATCGGCAGAACCAGCACCAGCGCAAACTTGACGCCAAGAACCGACTGCACAAGCGAGAGCGACGCGTTTCCGCTGGGGCCGCTAAGGGTGAGCGGTTCGCTCCATACCCTGCGGCATCGAAGCGCCAGTCGCTTCTGCCTCCAGTCGACACGTCGGGCGAAGTGGACTCGGTTGACACAGCTACAGAGACTGCCCCAGTGACGATGCCACGGACACCTGGTGCATCGTCAGCTGAGGCTGCTGCTACTACCGTTGGCACGGATGGAGCAACATCGTCGTCCTCAGCGGCGCAGACTCCAGTACTGGCTACGGCAAGCAGCGGCGTCATGTTCCTACCCAACGGGCCGCAGCCACCGCAAGTGTCGTATCCGTTTGTGATGCAAGACTTTGACGGTATCGTCGTCCCGCTGCCGTCCTATCTCGAAGGACAAGAGAGAATCGAGTTCCGCTCTCGAATTTACCAGAAGGTGTTGGATTTCATCTCGGAGGAGTGTATCCTGCGCTTCGGGGCCAAGGTTGATCCTCCCGCAGTTAATGCCACAGCTACTGATACTGTAGAGAAGTCGACACTCCCGGCCCAATCGGGTATCACCGAGCTCGAGACTGAGCATCCAACGAGCAGCGAGCGAGATGCTCCAACCCCGAGCGAAGCCAACGACATCTCGGACGCCCAGCAGAGCTCGCCGTCAGGGTCTGACGAGTCAAGCCCCTCCACCAAGAAGGTCCATTGACGCGTTTCCGCCGATCCCGATAGCGGAGACAATGGAATGATATCTCGAGGTTGTATGGTTTGATGCGCCAGGCAAGAAAACTCGGTGCCAGCTACTGTAGCGTCGTCGTCAAGTGTCCACTGGAGCTGAAGCTGAGCGTGTTTGCAGATCTATTAGTGAATCATTCTTGGTCCCCATATGAATGAAATGCATCCTTGATACGCTTCGTCCTGAGATTCTTGAGTTCTCCTCACTACGAACCCATCGAGGCGTTCACTTGATAAAATAATGGGATTTTCATTATCACACATCTAATGGAGACTGACTACCAACGGAGAACACAACAAAGAGAGACCTCTTTCTCTCTAAATCTCAACCTCACGTTTGCCTTCTCGTACTTGACTGTCATCCAGACCGTCAATACTGCTGAACGAATATTTCTCGTCATTGTACGACATCTCACTGTAGCAGTCGCTCTCGCCACGAGCGCGTAATTGCTCGGCATATTCCGAGTCGGTGACCGAGTCCGCGATGGAGTCGGTAATTGAGTCGGCCATCGATGACCGACCGTCTAAGTCCGTCCGCCTCTGCGGCGGTCGAGCAATCCCCTGCGACGACTGGAACGAGTACTTGCCGCTGTCCAGGTCACTGATGGTATCGCTGAAGCTCACGCCGCTCATTCCGCCCATCGTGCTGCGGTCTGCCTCGTCGTACTGCATCTCCTGCTTCATGCGTAGGTACTCACCAAAGACGTTCGGTGTGGATGTGCAACGGGAGGAAACGTCCTGTTGCACGTACTCGCTCACGTTCGAGAATCCGCCAATGCCTCCGACAACTGGAGCTGCCTGGACGTTGCGTCCTCCACTCTTGTGGGAGCCGCGCGAGTTGTGCCCGTTTCCGCCTAAAACGGCCGGTGACTGCGACGCATCGGCCAACATACCGTCAAAGCTACGCGGAGATTCGTCTGTGGGCACGTGGGATAGTGTATCCATCGGATCTGGTCGCGATCCCTTGCGATGGCCACCACCGTAGCCATGATTCATGTTGGAAGATGCGTAGTTGACCTTGCTGGTGTCCAGGATGTTGTTGTACGGACCTGCGAAGCCCTCGTCAGGCTTCGAGAGGCCACGCATTCGCTTGTCCGACATGGCGCGGTTGCGACCGAAGTTGCCGGCACCTGTAGCTGCAATGTTCTCCTCGCGACGGCGTCGCATCTTGCGTCTCCGAGCACAGAGAATGCCAAGGATAACTACGATTAGGACTGCACCGAGGCCGATGGCTCCATACGTGATAAGACTGGAGCTCAGGCCGCCCAAACCGGTGGAGCTCGAGGTGTCGGCGCTGGTACCGGACGATGACGCAGAGGAAGATTTGGAGGAGGCAGCGGTGGAGTCCGTCGTGTCTGTCGAGGACGACGACGTGTTGTTGGTACTGCTGGACGTTATGGAACTCCATGAGTCGGCTATATCATTGGGACAGCAGAATGATAGGTCAGATATGCAAGTTGTCATGCGCATGGTTGACTAGATGGGGATCAACGTACAGCAGTCGTAGCGGACTCCAGTGAAGGGGCAGGTATTGGTCGAGTTGTCCTTCTCCCAGCACGTGTAGGTGCTGTCGAGTGCGTAAATGCATGGAGGGCAATCGGCCGTGGTCGTGTCACACGTGGTGCTGCCATCCTTGAGGCAGGACGTAACGGAGCTGCAGAAATCACTAGTGTCCGAGGCCGAGGCGGCCGTCGCGAAGGCCGCCAGCGCTAGAACCTGTTGCAGCGATCGTCGTCCGGCACTCATTGCCACTGGCGCTCCTCTTTTCTTATGTCACAGCCGGAGCCAGCACGGGGCCCTCGCCTCGCCGTGGTATAGCGGCAGAGACCTCGGGCCAGACGCATCGTGCGTCGCGACGGCACTCTGTACCTGCCACCTGACCAGACGGATGCCCCTGTTTAGCATATGGTTTTATTCAGCTACATGGCCAATACTACAAACCTCAAATGGACGTTTTGCCTCAAAAACTTTTGTGGTTTTGACTCTCTGGCCAGCGCTTGACTATACTGGCAGCACCGAAAAGCTCCGTTTTCCAGTTGCCCTGTTGCTGTCGTGGTGACGAAAATACGGGTGTACCAGGTTAAAGACTCGGAGGCCTTTTCAGATTCGCGTTTTGCTTCTTCGTTCAGCATCATCGGCACACAATTTTTGTCATTTCATCATTCAGCTGTCACTACTGTTGGTGTAAGTGTTCGTCCTGGATTGGTACAGCATCTAAGGAATGCCTTGCAATTTGCAGATGAGCCCTGGTGCAGGAAGTTGAGTGGGGCGTCATTAATCTGATATCATAAAGCTCCGTCATGGCCATGGTGACTTACTGTAAAAGATCACTTCGAAGCAATCGCTTTTTGAGGACGTCCGACACAAGAATCCTCAAACATTCGTCAAAATAATCAACAGGAATGTGTCGAAGACCAGCCAATGCATCTGATCGTAGCTCACGTAGAGACCAGAGAGTGGAGCACACACGTCGCATTTGAAGGCGGTTGGATCGCGCTGGACCAGTGCAATGCCCAATCTCTCCTCGTCCTTCATGGTGCCTTCGTTTAGGATGGCAGTCAGAGCCCACTTGGAGTCGCCACCTGAAGCCTCCATAGTGCGATGGATCACCATCAAGACTTAGCCAGTCCAGCGAGCGAGTTGGCGAGCCACATTGGTCTCTTCAAAATTAAGAGGGGGCTACGCAACATGTCCTTTTCCACCTTCACCACCAGGCGATGATGGTCCACCGTCGGGACGAGTCGTTCGGACTGGACTCCAGTCAATGCATTGCTGACAGCAGTGGTTCCACGGACTGAAGAACGTACTTGTTACTCACGAATAGATTGATACTTGTCGTGAGTGTCGAATTCGCGTAAAAGCGCAATCTACCTTGCGACTCGCTCGTTACCAGCGCTGGTTTTGCGTGCCTAAGAGGCCAACAGGAACCTATTTTGCTGAAGCTGTC